TATCCCGTGATGCTATACTATATTTGCTGTCCTTTTCTCCCATCTGTTTCCTATAAGGAGTCGTTTCCCAAGGAAAAGTCTTCAGTGATCATTTCTCCCAAATCTCCACCATTTCTCCCTTCAGTTCTGTGGCCCTGAACAACCCTGATCCTTCCTCATGCTTGCATGCTTGGTCGCTTCAGTCCTGTCTGACTCTTTGTAATCCTATGGACTGTAACCCCCCAGGCTCCTCTGTTCTGGGGATTCTCCAGGCAAGAACACTGGAGTGAGTTGCCATGCCTTCCTCCGGGGATCTTCCCGAACCAGGGATTGAACTCTCATCTCCTGCATCTCCTTCACTGCAGGTGGATTCTTTATCCACTGAGCCACCTGAGAAGCCCTGATCTCTCCTCAGGAACCAGTAATTCCTACAAGCAAAGGTACCTGCATCAAAAAAGCAAATAGATCCAATCCCCAACTCCTTTCTCCTTCTGCCAAAACCACACACTTTATAGTTCTCTCCTGTCCAACCTCAGTGTGTGAAGACATTTTCTTCCTTTTTCCCCTTTTCTATATCCATATCTAATCAGTGGCCAAGGTTCATAAATTCTAACTTTGAAATATTGTTCTTATCAATTCTCTTTCCTTCCCATTGATAAGCATGAAGAGCAAAGAATATTACCTCTTGGATGGGACTAATAAATATTTTTGTGAAATTAAGTGGAAAGGAAAAGAAAAATATTAAATTTTGATAGAGATGAAATATCAAGATGGGTCAGCTGAATGTCTATAAACTGTTCTGGTAATTTGGCATCTGTTTGCTAAAATCATCACAGTCCGTGTTTGACAGCCTACAGTGATATCTGCCCAACGAATAAATTTCTGTTCATCTTTCTAGTATGTTTGCCAAATAAATCAAAATACTAATTTAACTGACAATAAGAAAAGCCACTGTCAAGAGCACTGAACACTCAAATGTAAATGAAGTGAGTAAGAAGGGAAAACTGAGAAGGGCTAAAATACAGAGTAAACATCAATGAATAAAAGGAGCACAGTTATTCAAAGTCATCTAAAATTGACACCGTCTAGTTGTCTCACTGATCAACTAGAACAAGAATGAGTATATTAACATCTAAACAAAGAAAATGTAAGATCGTAGGAGCATTAATGAGCCTTGCGAGATGCACTGGTCTAAGTCATGGCTAAGTTGATGAATGCCTCCTGGTTAGTTACTCAGTGTTTGCGACCCCATGAATTGTAATCCCACCAGGCTCCTCTGTCCATGGGATTTCCCAGACAAGTATCCTGGAGTGGGTTGCCATTTCCTCCTCCAGGACATCTTCCTGACCCAGGAATTGAACCGGTGACTCTTGAGTTTCCTGCATTGGCAGACCGATTGTTTTTTACCATTGAAGCCACTTGGGAAGCCCAACTCAGAAGATGGGGAGAATGAAGTAAAACAAAACCACACTTAACATATGGTTTCCATCTTTGCCCCATTTCCACAGGCTAGAGGAAGAGAATTAAGAAACGTATGAAGGTTAAGTGGGGAGATCTAATTCTAAGGCTGAATTAGGATCTCCATTCTCAGACCTAAGGGAGGACTGTCACTAAATAAACTGCCCTCTCTATCTCTAGTTCCTGCTTCCTTTGTCTACCTTATTTGCCTGAGAACTCATAATTATTATTTCCTTAAGTATCTACAATCTACAGAGCATTTAATTTAAAAATATATTTTCAAATTAGACTATTTTAGATTTTGTATTATATTTGTTTTTGTGTTTGTTGGGTCTAAGTCTTTAGCTTGTGACTATCAACTATTTTTAGTCAGTCACCATTTATTATAGAATGAACTTTTAATAATATTATTCCCTCTTCTTTTTTAATGGAGAAATTTGAGTACTACTGTAGGTATTGTCTCAATTAGTGGTTTGATAATCCCTACAAAAAGCATTTCCAGACTACTCAACATTTCCCCATTATACTACTTAATTTAGCTCCCAAGTTTGCTCTCTTATTATTAAATCAATATATTTGAGGTCTCTAATTTCTGCTGATGCTTAGAGGCAAAATTTTAAACATGCTCTGTTAAGAAGTGAATCTTCACTATACCTTCAATTAATGCATAACTAATTACTTTAGTAAAACAATATTATTAATAAAATATATTAGATATTTTAAATTAAGTGATCTATTAGGATGGTCATTTATACTGAAGTGATGGTATTTATCTGTTTAAGAAAAGCTAGAATATATAAAAACTCTGTAAGAGCTTTGTAAGAGCTCTGTAAGTGTTGTAAACTCAATAATCAGAAACAACATGATTAGAAAATGGACAAAGGATCTGAATAGGTTTTTCTTCAAAGGGGATATGAAAATGGTCAATAAGCCCATGAACTAATTTTAACATTATTAGTAATCAGGGAAATGCAAACCAAAACCATAATGAAGCACCACTTTGCATTCAATAGGAAGATTCTGACGCAAAAAGCAGATAATAACAAGCATTGCTGAGGACATGAAGAAACTGCAGTCATGATAGATTGCTGATAGCAATGTAAGATGATATAATCCCTTCAGAAAACATTTGGGAAGTTCCTAAAAAAAGGCTAAATAGAATTACTGGTGTGTGTGCTTGCTCAGTCACTTCAGTCATATCCAACTCCTTGTGACTCTATGGGCTGTAGCCCACTGGGCTCCTCTGTCCATGGGATTTCCCAGGCAAGAATACTGGAGTGCGTTGACATTTCCTCCTCCAGGGGATCTTCCTAAGACCTAGGAATTTAACCCTTGTCTTTTGTGTCTCCTGCGTTTCCTGCATTGGCAGGTGTTTTTTTTTTACCACTAGCATCACCTGGGAAGCTCATGACTCAGCAATTTCACTCCTAGATATAGACCCAAAGAAATTAAAGGACATGTCCACATAAGAATCTTTATATTCACATTAAGAACGGCCTTATCCACAATGCTGGAAACAACCCAAATATCCATCAGTTGATGAATAGAAAAGTAAAAAGAAATATATCCATACAATAGAAAACTACTCAGTTTAAAAAGGAACAAAGTATTGATGCATGTTACAATATGGATGAACCTTAAAAACATTATGCCAAGTGAGAGAAGCCAGTCCAAAAACAGCACACACTGTATGATTCCATTCATAGGCAATATGCAATGTCCAGAAAAGAAAAATCTATAGAGATAGGGTAAGGTTTGTGACTGCCTATAGTTGGAAGACTCTGGATACAATGTGGGCTATTGCAAAAATGTAGACAGTTTCTTTATGAGATAATGAAAATATTAGGATCCAGCAGTGATACTTATAAAGCAATTCTATGAATATTCTAAAAAATGCAAAATTATATACCTTAGCAGGTTAATTATATGGTATATGAATTATATCTCAATAGAGCTGCTACAAAGAAAGTACTTTTGGTGGATTAAAGCACTTACTGTGTCACTTAATTGGGGAATTATTTTGTAGGTCAATCTTACTTACAGGAAATCCTTAGTACTGTTTTCAAGATCATCACTTTCTGTTTTAATATGACAAAATTCATTAGAGTATATTAGGAAAAGTCCTATTTGAGGAGATGCTGAAATTTTTTTAAAATTTATATGAAGTGCAATGTTCACCAGGCACTATTGTGTGCCAATAAATAATATTTACTAGGAGTTGGCAAATGTAATTTAACCAGTCTATAAATACTAATGTGTGTTAGTGTTGAAGGGTTTCATTTGATCATTTGTGCAAGAATGAAGCTGACTAAAACTGTATGAATCTGTGACAAAGATGGATGACAAAATAATGAAGCCATGTGGTAAGTTCTATGAACATTCAATTAGTTGGTGACAAAGTTTTCAGTATTTTATTTAATTCCATCAAAATGCTGAGTAAGTCCATCCAAGAAAACCAGTTTCATTTGTGGTCCTGTTACATTGTTTCTGTTGCACATCTTAAAGGCTTATAAATTTATAGAATAGAAATATTTATACTCAGAACTTTGAGAAAATTGCTTCTGGGAAACTCTTTCTGTCTCAATAGAGCAGATACATAATTAGAGGGAAAAGAGTTAAATCTACTTAAAAACACCACAGGGAATTCACTGTTTTTCAATTATCAATTTCCTCCAAGCAGTACTAAATCCCAGGAAAGAATTTTCCTTTTCCTTGATTTATTTAATTTGGCACTTCACTTAAACAACTATCAATTAACTCACGAAATTTAAATGACTATAACTACAAGCACCACTGTGGAATTTACTTAGAAAATCAAACATTTTGTCTAAAATATCAAGTAAGGAATATGAAAAGTATGAAATGTGGTGCAACATTTATCTCTTTAAATAAGAGTAGTGACTATATTCACTGATTGTATTCTACTTGATAATGCAAGTCAAAAACAACATCTACGGTTTAGGAAACTCTATCAAAATAAACAAATAGGAAAAAATGCTCTAATGATATAATTTCCCTCAATATCCTGAAATTCATTAAATAATTTCTTTTATACTACATTAGATAGTTTTATCAACTACTTTGTTATCATTCTATAATAATTATAAAATTTTAATTTTGAGCTCATTTGTGTACATCCAGCTTTCAGATAAAAACTTACCTCAGAAATAGAAAAAGAATGACTTTAAGACCTTTCAATAGTGACTGCTGTCATCCTGTTTTTCAAAATTTTATTTGGTAAGTATTAATTTTGAAAATAGAAACAATACCCTAATTCTAGGCCTAACTAATGATGCAGGCATAGAATTTAGGATAAAACAAATCATCTCTCGTTTAGTTAGAAAAGACAGCAAATCACTGTCAATATCCTCTATGTCTTAGACCCTATGGTAGGTCTGTATTTGTCTGTCTACCAGATGACGATAACTCACACAAATACAAGTAAAGGTACATATGTAGCTGTATACCTAGGCTTACTGTATTTTTAAATCACATAACTACACTTATATATATATATTTTTTATAATTTAAAATGCATTATCTTAAAGAAAAAATATACTTACTGCCCTCTAGAGGTATGAACCAGTAGTGTAATAAGTGTAGATGTTGCTGGGCATATACAGTTTAAAGCTAACATGGCGTATTTAAACTCTTCTTCACAAACAACATGATCTGTTTGAAATAAAATAGGTAAATTAGAATAATTTACCTTGGGATAGTAGTATTTTAAAATAATATGTAAAACAGAATAAAATTACAAAAGCTTCCATATAAATACACTTGCTTTAGAGATGTTTTTACATGTGCAAATTTATCTCCAGGAAAAATGTTTCATAAGAGAGAGCACTAGACTATGAGGCAAGTTATTGAGGTACAGGGGGGTTCTAACCCCAGATATGTCTTTAATGAAACTGACAGCCTTTGGCAAGAATTTTTTTCCTGTGCCTCATCTGTACACAAAGGTAAGAAGTTGGTGGGTGTGAGGTACAGCCTGGATAGTAAATTGAAGACTATACACAGTCTCCTTTACTTCTGATAATTCTATGGTATGAAATATAATGGTGCTGATTTATAACATGATTTATTTATCAAACCCATACACATAACATAAAGACTTAGAATGTACTTATTAAAAAATGTGGCAGATAATAGTTGCATAACATACAAGTAATAATTTGTACAATCAAAACAACCACAATTATCAATCAATAAAAATTAATCCTGATATAAATATAAATTTAAATTACACCTTAACCTTAGGATCTAAGGTCATAAATTCAAAAGATGATTGAGTCCAGTCAGAAATGATAATAAATGGCATAAAAAGAAATTCAATGACATAAAAACAATAGAGTGCTAGAAATGATGACACATGGTAGGGGGAATGAAGGTCATGTTAAAAGGAGTAATGCCACTCAGCCCAAGTAAATTGTTTTCATGCAGGAATGAGTGCCCAGATGCCATATGCTCCATTTTCCACAGAAACCACATGTTAGAGAAGCAATTAATGTTTGGGAAAAAAAGTTGTTTGTTTGGGGGGAAAAAACCTTCCCTTCCAAGTAAACTGCTGTAGCTGATATTGGAAATAAAGACTGCTTAAAGTTCTAAGAAAATAAATATTCTTAGGTAGAAAATAGCAGTTTTAGCTAATGAAGGAATAGGTTGAATTTGTGAGTCTGATCTATGAAATGAAAACATACACTATACAATTTATGATGAAACAAGATTACTTAGGAAGTGATTCATCAAATGTTCCAGACAGATAAATAATAACCTTACTCTTGTTTGCATAACATCAGTGAGCATATGAAAGAGCCCATTGTTTTTCTTTTTCCTTCATTTCCTTCTTCATTTTTTTCTTTCACATTTTATGGAAGAAATTATAAGCTCTGGTTACACATCAGGATTTACTCTTTAAAAAACTCAAGAATCTAACAATGCCTTTTTTTTTTTTTGGTTGTCAGTATTATAATAATAATTTATAAGAAAAACCTCCAAAATATATAACCATGACTTAATAGTTTACAGGAAGGTGGGTAGATTCTAAATTCAAAATATCTGCTAAAGAACTGTGACTTAAACCACTATTTTAATATTTCTCAAATAATTTTAAGTATATAATGCCCAACCTATGAAAATAAAGTTACAAAAATCTTAAATGAAGAATAATTTTACTTTAGAATATGATAGCCAAACATATGGGGTTTATAAATTTTAAACCAAAACTTGAACACATGACTGAAGAAAAGTATGTGCATTTATTATGACATTAGATAGAGTATTTAAAAATCCAACTACCAGAAAATTTGGAAGGTATGATTACCATATATGCAATACCAAAGAATGCTCAAACTACCGCACAGTTGCACTCATCTCACACGCTAGTAAAGTAATGCTCAAAATTCTCCAAGCCAGGCTTCAGCAATACGTGAACCGTGAACTTCCAGATGTTCAAGCTGGATTTAGAAAAGGCAGAGGAACCAGAGATCAAATTGCCAACATCCACTGGATCATCCATAAAGCAAGAGAGTTCCAGAAAAACATCTATTTCTGCTTTATTAACTATGTCAAAGCCTTTGCCTGTGTGGATCACAATAAACTGTGGAAAATTTTGAAAGAGATGGGAATACCAGACCAACTGACCTGCCTTTTTTGAGAAACCTGTATGCACGTCAGGAAGCAACAGTTAGAACTGGACATGGAACAATAGACTGGTTCCCAATAGGAAAAGGAGTATGTTAAGGCTGTATATTGTCACCTTACTTATTTAACTTATATGCAGAGTAAATCATGAGAAACGCTGGGCTGGAAGAAGCACAAGCTGGAATCAAGATTGCCAGGAGAAATATCAACAACCTCAGACATGCAGATGACACTACCCTTATGGTAGAAAGAGAAGAAGATCTAAAGAGCCTCTTGATGAAAGTAAAAGAGGAGAGTGAAAGTGTTGGCTTAAAGCTCAACATTCATAAAACTAAGATCATGGCATCTGGTTCCATCACATCATGGGAAATAGATGGGGAAACAGTGGAAACAGTGTCAAACTTTAGTCTTTTGGGCTCCAAAATCACTGCAGATGGTGGCTGCAACCATGAAATTAAAAGACACTTACTCCTTGGAAAGAAAGTTATGACCAACTTAGAAAGCATATCAAAAAGCAGAGACAAGGCTATGATTTTTCCAGTGGTCATGTATGGATGTGAGTTGGACTATAAGGAAAGCTGAGCACCGAAGAATTGATACTTTTGAACTGTTGTGTTGGAGAAGACTCATGAGAGTCCCTTGGACTGCAAGGAGATCCAACCAGTCCATCCTAAAGGAGATAAGTCCCAGGTGTTCATTGGAAGGACTGATGTTGAAGCTGAAACTCCAATACTTTGGTCACCTGATGAGAAGAGCTGACTCATTTGAAAAGACCCTGATGTTGGGAAAGATTGAGGGCAGGAGGAGAAGGGGACAACAGAGGATGAGATGGTTGGATGGCATCACCGACTCAATGGACTTGGGTTTGGGTGAACTCCGGGAGTTGGTGATGGACAGGGAGGCCTGGCGTGCTGCAGTTCATGGGGTCTCAAAGAGTCAGATACAACTGAGTGACTGTACTGAACTGAAGTGAATACCACACGCAACTATTAAGTTTCCTTTGGCTTAATGTACAAACTATATTTCTTCTAGCAGGGGCCCATGAGAAAATGTGGTAGTTATATGATAGTTTGAAAATATTCCTTCTTATTTTCCTTCACTGTTAAAAAATAAAAAATTGGGTCCCCTTCCTTCCATTTTCCTCAATTAATGTGTGTATCTCTGTTTGGTTGGAAAATGGTTGAAGTACAATCATGTTGCACTGGCTAATTTTTCAATAACTATAATAATCAGTGGGAAATAGAAGAGAAAAATTATCTTTAGGCATCATTTTTGTGTCTGTATATGCTTTTTTCTACAGGTATGTGAAGTTTTCACAGTGTCTATTAACCCATCAAGCAATAATACACATTTCTGGAGGCAATTCTCCACATAGATACAAAGTTTTGAAAAATTTTAGTAAATACTGAATTATTTAGGAAGACAACTACTGTATAAACTAAGAGAAAGTTTATTTTGTTAATACTGTATGTAAGTGATTAATAGAAATTTAAGATTCGATCACTAATGTTGTCAGTGTCAGTAGCAGGCATATGTTTATTGGTGCAAGCATGTTTCATATTGTCTTTTTTCAGTTATTTGTATCTGGGCATTTACAGTGTTGAGATATATGCTTTCTTACTATTAATTATTTCTCTTCTGTTTCTCCTTCATATTACAAATTGCATATTCTATTAATTATTTAAAGTGTATTCATATAGATATTTACATTTACTCTGAATTTTGCTCCAGGCTAGTAAAGGAAGTGTGACAAAATTTTTATCATACAAAAGAGGTATTGGATCAGATAGGTTAAAAGCAATTACCTTAGATTAGTGAGTTAATATATAATCCTGGGATTCCTTGTTAGATAAAATGAAAAATCACTACTCTTTATAAAGAAAACATGTATTTCACCAATAAGGATGACTGACACATGTAAAGGAATACTATAGCATAATAATCTTCATTTACACAAATTAAGAAAGGTGAAACTCAGTCTGCAAATCAAAATTGAATTTATCTCTAGATGTCTCCTCTCAGACCCAAATCTACCCGTCCTCCTCAAACACTTATACTCACCATTATTTCCTAACTTGAATACAAAAGCAGAATATTATTTCACCATATTTTGCCCCTCATTTCCCAATGTCATATGACTGCCAAGGTTTATGGATGGTACCACCTCAGTCCTCTGTCTCTTTCTCACTTGCCTCTCCCCCATTCCCACTTGCCTCTCCCCCATTCCCACTCTTAACTACTTATTGCAGGCTTCTGATCCTTATCCATACTCTTAAGGGCCAGATATCAGCTTCTAGAATTAAAATTTATTTCTTCAAATTTTAGAAACAATATGTTTCATCTTGCAAACACTGTGTACTAGATGTAGGGAGCAACCTATGCTTAAAAACACTATTGTTTTTGCAGCTAAATGTGTGAATACTTTTACTAATTTGAAAAAAAATGAAGTTCAGTACAGGGTTTATTACCAAATAACTTCAGGTCAGATTTTACCACTAAAAGAAATACTAAAATATTTTCTTTTCTCAGAGTTTTCTGGATTGAGGGATCCCAAATCAGCTAAAGGGATCATGGACCTTTAAACACTGGTAATCTCTCACTTGGGCTAATAAAACAGCTTTCTAAATTCTCGTCCTGTTTTGCAACTTTTTAGCATCCCACCTATCACCTTTCTAAGACTGTGTTGACAAATACAATTGCCTCAGTCATGAAAGAATAAATGACATTTACAGCAATATGGATGGATTTAGAGATGATTGTACTAAGTGAAGTAAGCCAGACAGAGAAAGACACATATCATGTGATATTGCTAATGAATAGAATCTAAAAAAAAAAAAAAAAAAAAGAACTTATATATGAAATAGAAATAGATCCACAAACATAAAAATAACAAATGTATGATTATCAATGGGGAAAGCAAAGGGAGAGATAAATTAGGAGTCTGGGATTACCCTATACACATTACTATATACAAAATAGATAACCAACAATGACCTACTGTATAGCATAGGGAACTATACTCAATATAT